CCTCAACCACGACCAAAGAAGAAGAAAGCGCTTGAAATTACTGACATTGAGAACCCAAGTGGTGGTGAAGCAGGTGTCCCAACTGGTGGTGGTGATTGAGCCTGATTTGAGAATTTTCATTGTTACAATCTGTTTGTACTACTACGTACTACTGGTTATTGTATTTGTACAACTAAGAAGTGTTACTATTTCGTGTGTTTTAGTTGTGTGTGAATTGTGGTTATTATTATACAACATTCGAATTGTGTTTGAATTTGTCATCAAATTGTCATAAAAGTTTTAAGTAATTTAAAAAAAAATATATATATATTTAAATAAGTATATAAGAATAATTATGTTATTTATCTAAAATTTTTAAGTAATTAAAAAAATATAAATAATTAAATTTAATTTCAAACGTAAGAATAATTATGTTATTTATCTAAAATTTTTAAGTAATTTAAAAACAAAATATAAGTAAATTCAAACGATTTCTCCAATACCATTTTCACAATCTTCCGTGGATCACATTACACTTTAAAGCATAGTTTGATAGTGTTGTACACCCTATGATGCAAATACTGACAGGAAATATGATATTCAACATATTTTGATATGGTAAGTAAAGAAATGTGTTTCGATTTCCAAAAATAAGTTGTACAACTACAAATTTGTTTTTAATAGTATAGTAAAACTAAATATTAGCTAAATCACCAAAAGTACAACTATTAACAAATATGCACAACTAAAAAACTGGGGTAAAATTATGTGTTAAATGCTGCGCACATGTCCTAATTAGGTGACATTCTTTGATTGGATTAGACCTAATAACGGCGTACATGACTAAAGAAACTGTATATATATATTTTTTTAATTTTTAGATATTTAAAGAAGTAAGGTGTCGTGGTTTTTTTAATTAAAACCGTAAACTGAATTTCCCCCAAAATCTAGGGTTCATCATCTGGGTTCCTCATCATCTCCAGTGAACGGCGACGGCGACCGAAATTCGGATTTTTGATAGCTTCCATTTTTTATTACGGTAAGTAAATCAACCTTCCATTTCGTGTTTCAATATTTTTTGGGTTATAGTTTTATTGTAGAAATTTTCGATTCTAGAAACATGGGTCGTTGGAAACATGAGGACATATTCGGCGAGTTCAATACTGGGTCCAACAACAGCAACTCATCAGATTCGGATGACGAAATCGTCCTCCCCACTTATGAATACATGGCAGATATAACTCCGACTCGATTTGCTCCAACTCCGGTGACATGGGAGCCCTCACCTATTGGCATTCCGACCATATGTTACTGTGAAAACCAGCTCTTGTTAAGACTCAAACAATTGGATTATTGATGGGAACCAAATTCTACTCTTGTGCTGGTGATATTCGTGTAAGGAACTTATATCCTTTTGCTAAATTTCCTTATTTTTATCATTTTGCTAAATGTTTGTTAAATATCTAATTAATTGGAGCATATGATGGAGATTGCCTTATTTACAAATTGTTGGATGACGCAATCTTGGAGGAGATTACTTTGACCAAAACCAAATTAGGAGAAATAGAAGGCCGCCTAGTTGAATTGCTCACCACTATTGAAGAAGAGAAGAAGAAGCTTCAGGAGATGGTCAACCTTTACAAGGAACATAACGACAAACTCATTGAGATGGTAACCAAAGTTGTAAGAAGTGACCAGGAAATCAATGACCTAAAGGAGATGGCTTTCAATCTTCAAGCAAATGTGACGAATTTGGAAACGGATTTGAAGAGCTAAAAGAGATGAAAAGGAGACGGCGACCGAAAATTTTTTATTCTACTTGTTTGTTTTGGATTGCTATGTTGAACGAGTACTTGTTTGGAGATCCATTGTTTGGTTCTATTGTACTTGTATGTTTTGGTTCGTTTTGTTAAACTAGTTTGGATTATTTTGTTAAACTTGTTTGGTTCTTCTATTGTACTTGTTTTAATTGGATTGTACAAACTAATTTTGTCTCCAATTATTGATCTAATCCATTTCGAATCGAACATACACATCCGTTCATAATTTTACCTAAAAGTACCAGTAGTACAAACATCCGTTCACAGTTTTACCTAAAAGTACCAGTAGTACAAACATCCGTTCACAGTTTTACCTAAAAGTACCAGTAGCACAAACATAAAATCCAGTTTGGAAACAAAGATACGTTTACAGTTTGCCATAAAAAGTACTAGTAGGGAGTCCTTAAACCAAATTGCATGAAAAAACTAAAATATAATAGATAGAGTTCAAGACAAGATGATGAGTATCAGTTCTTCAATTCTTCTTGCTCCTCTTTGCTGGGTTCGGGGCCCTGAGTCCTCATTGCTGCTGATGGTTTCTTAATCCTCTTCTCACCAACAATTTCATTATGTTTTTCTGCCTCTATCTCCTTCTCCACTTCACTCTCCTCCCCTTTCTCAGCTTCTACCTTCTTATCTACTCCACTCTCCAGATCCTTCTCGGCTTCCTCTGGCTCCTTCTCGATAACTTCTGTCTCTGTCTCCTTCTCCTCTCCACTTTCCAGCTCCTTCTCTAGTCCAGTCTTCGGATCCTTCTCTAATGGATCATTCTCCACTCCATTTGCTTCCTTTTGCTTCTGTCCACCACCAGAGCAATCACCATGAGTCCAAAAACTAGATCGAGGGCGATACTGCTTATCAAAATCAAAATCACCCGTATCATTCCATCCCTGAGAGTTCACAAACGATTCCACAGCCTTGAGCCTTGTTTCATACCCACCAAACATACTGCTTATCTTTTGAAAACTTTCTTCCATAGTATTATTCATCTTCACCATTCCATCTTGTACCTCTATCAACACATCCTTTATCTCTTTCAGTTCATTACCATCCACCTCAAGACCCTTATCATCAGCCTCATCCCCATCATCCACAGGTTTGGATCGACCTGCTACATCAAGTTCCAACTCCGTTTG